ACATTCTGCAAGGCATTATAAATTACATGGTATCTAAACTATGTATTTTCTTTTACACTTTTAATTTATGAATTGGGCATTATAAGAGATCAACAACCAATAAAATAGATCATAATACATAGTATAAAACTTACAAAATATTTCTAGGAATTAGAGAATGGCTCAGTGGATAAATAAAGTGCTTGCTGAGCAAACACAGAAATTTGAATTCAGATCCTGGCCATTCCCATAAAAAGCCAGGCATAGGCTGGGTGGTGGTGGCGCATGCCTTTAATCCTAGCACTCAGGAGGCAGAGACAGGTGAATCCCTGTGAGTTCGAGGCCAGCCTGGTCTACAAGAGCTAGTTCCAGGACAGCTAGGACTGTTACACAGGGAAACCCTGTCTCAAAACACCAAAAAAAAAAAAAAAAAAGCCAGGCATGATGCCACACCGGAAAGGCAGAGACAGGAAGATCCCTGTCTTGTGGCCAGCTAGTCTAGCCAGTTACTGAGTTCAGTGAGAGACCATGTCTCCAAGCACAAGGTAGAGGGTAGTAAGACAGCTCAGCCTGTAAAGGCCTAACTACACAAGCCTGACAACCTGAGTTTATCCCTGGAGCCCATGCAGACATGAAAAGAGAGCCAAAGTTGTCCTCTAACCACCACATATACACCATCATGTATGCACACATGCATACATACATGGTAGTAGTAGTAATAATAATAATAATAATTAGATAAGATAGAGAATGATAGAGGAAGACACTAGGGAAAAACATTAAAATTCAGATAACCTTGATCTAGACTCTAGAGTCTAGAAGGCGAACAAAGAAAAAGCACTTGGTATTAGTAATGAACTAAATACTAGCAACTTTTTTTTTCTTTTTTTCTTTTCTGTTTTTTCGAGACAGGGTTTCCCTGTGTAACAGTCCTAGCTATCCTGTAACTAGCTCTTGTAGACCAGGCTGACCTCGAACTCACAGGGATTCACCTGCCTCTGCCTCCTGAGTGCTGGGATTAAAGGCGTGAGCCACCACCACCCAGCCATACCAGCACCTTTTTAAAGCCACCATGCACTAACACTTTCTGCATGCTTGCATATAGTCCTCAGGTCCTGTGAGTGCACCTACGGAGCAGATGTTCCTACTTAGGGTCACTACTGCTGTGATAAAACACCATGACCTAAGAGACAACTTGGGGAGGAAAGGGTTTACTGCAGCTTACACTTCCAGGTTATAGTTCATCACTGAGGGAAGTCATGGCAGGAGCACAAACAGGGCTGAACACAGAGGCAGAAGCTGATGCAGAGGTCATGGAGGAGTGCTGCTTACTGACTTGCTCCTTGTGGCTTGTATAGTCTGCTTTTTTATAGAACCCAGGATAGCATCACCCACAGTAGGCTAGGCCCTCCCACACAGTTGAGAAACTGCTCTACAGCAGTGGTTTCAATCTTCCTAATGCTGCGACCCTTTAATACCTCCACCCCACCATAAAATTATTTCGCTGCTACTTTATAACTGTAATTTTGCTACTGCTATAAATTGTAAGGTACATATCTGATATACAGGATGCCTGATGTGACACCCCTAAAGCAGTCATGACCCACAGGTTGAGAACGACCACTCTAGAACCCAATCCTATGAAGACATTTCTTCCAGTTGGGATTCCCTCCTCTCAGATGACTCCAGCCTGTATCAAGCCAACATAAAATTATCCAGCACAAGACAGTTGATCCTATTCTAGAGACTAGTAAGCTGGGCTTACAGAAGCTGAGTGACTTTCCTAGGCGTCTAGCTGATAAGTGAGACAACCAGGACCAGATCAAGGCCTTTTCAGACCCAGAAGCCCACACTCACCTTCTGCTCCACTCCACAGACCCCACACTCAGCCCCCACCTTCTGCTCCACTCCACAGACCCCACACTCAGCCCCCACCTTCTGCTCCACTCCACAGAGCTTCAAGTCTAAGATCCACATAAGAACAAGGAGTAGAGCTGACGCAACGGCTCACCCTGCAAAGGTGCTTGCTGCACAAACCCGGGCAACTGAGTTTGATCCCCAGGAACCCACACAAAGGTGGAAGAAGAAAACTGATTTCACAGATTTGTCCTCTGACCCCCACATGCACACTGGAACACTGGCACCCCACTTCCCCACACACAATAACAATAATTTTTAAAAAGGAACAAGTATATCTGGTGCTGCCAACAACAGGCAAGGAACCTGGACACATGCGGTTTAGCACCAATCTACAGATGGGAGCAGCCAACCTGCCACTTTGGTTTTCATCCACAGATGATATCCTGACTAAATATATTGAGGCAGATACTTCCAAGCACTGAATTCTGATTCTCCTTGTGTTTTAAAAATTAATTAATTTAAATGTTATTTCTGCTGGACGGTGGTGGCACACGCCTTTAATCCCAGCACTCGGGAGGCAGAGGCAGGCGGATCTCTGTGAGTTTGAGGCCAGCCTGGTCTACAAAAGCTAGTTCCAGGACAGCCACCAAACACCAAAGCTACAGAGAAACCTTGTCTTGAAAAAAACGACAAAAAAGTTATTTCCATGATTTATCCAATTCAATTACATTAAAATACAAAAACACATTAGAAGGTCTAAAGATATCCTGATCCCCTATTAATACCACCTTCCTATGAACAAATGACACCCGCTCCAGCATTTACTCATGTGTTTGTAAGTCAACGGCAGGAGTCTACATTATTGGCTCTACTGGTTAGTTCGCCCTCCTTTTACTTTACAGGCAGGTCTGGCCTCTGGATTAAACTAATACCCACAAAGTTAGAGGTGTTGCCTCAATATCTGTTGGTTAAATGAAAATTAAACAGAATAAGGGACTTTTAGCAACTGTTCAAAAAATACATGTTGAGTATGTAGACAATATTTGTCCTTTACTTTACTTTGGGGACAGGGTCTCAATATTAGCCCTGGCTGGCCTATAACTCTCTACATCAACCATGCTGGGGCTCAATTTGTGATGATCCTCCTGCCTCTACTCCTGAGTGCTGCGATTTAGGCATGGATCTCTGTGCATAGCCCCTTTCTTTTTCCTTTTTTTTTTTTTTTTTGGAGTCATAGCCCTTTTCTAGATTTAAAGACCCATTTCAAGAACTCCAAAATGGATTTTTTAAAATTTCCCAAAATTAATATTTTTGTTTAAGATTATCATAGATTTTTAATTACTTCAACTTTCTTATACACAATAAAGGACATTGAAAGTCCATAATGCCATTCACTAGGCCTATCATAATCACTAGAATAAAGCAGGTGCTCAGACAAGACATAGGAACTGAATTCAACAAAGAATTTTACCATAGTCAGTAAAATCGAGCAAGCCATTATACCTGTATATCTAAGGAGATGATACGATTTTTCAAGACATGGCTCAAATGAAGATGTGTACAAAAGTGTCCCTAACACAACAGTGCAGGGACAGTGGGAAACGGCATCCATGAGGTGTGAAGGCAAAGGCCCGTAAACCCAGACCAGGCCAGCTTTTGCTACAAGAGTTTCAAAAACCAAACACGCACAAACCAGTGTCAAGTAGGAGATAATTAAGGATGGTGGATTACAAATGTCAAAAACAAAATTTAAAAAGTCAGTGATCATAAGGTAGCTAAATATTCTGGGAACTTAGTAAATAAGGGTATGACTTCAAAAGTCACTTCTACATAAAATGAAGTGAAAACAGCAGAGAGAAGGGTTCCTTTGAGACACAGAAGGGTGGTTAGGTACAAACAGAACGAAGGAGTCAGGGACACCGGCAGTGCTGTGACAGCCACCACAAACGAAGAACTGTGGGGCAAGAGAAGTCAACAAAACCTTCCTTAGACCGAAAGTATCCATCCTTCAAAGCATCTGATGGACTTGAATCATTGTCCTGAATGCATCCACTTACAGAAAACTGAAAATGTTAATCATTTTCTACCATGAATTATACTTGAAAACTATTTGGGGTTTAGAATTATCACAGCAACCTTACGCCTGACAAAATGGAAGGAATCATGGCAACATTATAAGTCACAAAACAGTCTGTGATAAGAAGCCAGGATCTCAGCCTATCAAGAGACTAATATGAAAGGAACCGTGGGTGACCAAATGTAAAATCAACAGCCACGTGGTCAGATGCATAATAAACAGCATCAAAGAATTATCGTAGCTAGGAGACGCAAATGGGTTCTTAATGTTTTACCTTTAAATGTTTTTAAATAACAGTCAACTGGCAAATTATGAAATGTTTCTTTTGGGGATCCATAATTTAAGAATAGCCCAATTTTTCACTACACAGAAGTGAGCCCGATACCAAATGAAACAAAACTTCAGGTAGGGGTGGGGGAACAGGGAACTTCTTTTAAAACGCTCCTGGGTGTTATCTGTAATCACAGCATTTGAGAGGCTGAGGTAGGAGGGTAGAAAGTTCCTGACCAGCTACACTACATAGTGATGCCCTGCCTCAAAACAACAAAAAACAAAAACTAAAGCAAATGAATGAGAGGAGAGGGGTAGAGAGGTATGGTCAACTGAAGGGTGACAGTTGCCTCTGTATTTTTGTAAAATGAGTCCAGCTGTCAAGTTTAAGTTTAAGTTGGATGGCTTCATTAAAATAATCCTTCATGAAGTCATAAGGTTAAACCATCAGAACAGGGGTGCTGCTTCCTCCAATATTGTTGGCAGGCCACAAAAGGACTAAAAAGAGGTAAGCCCAAGAAGCCAGAAGCCTCACTTGGGTGACCACAAATTAGTTCCTATTTCACCTTTGTGACTACAAATTAAAGTTTGCACTGCAGAAACGACTAACCAAGCTAACAGTTGGAAGAAATTGCCTTGTTATGCCTCACAGTCATTAAGAGACCCAAACCCAAAGTAGTTTTCAAGGCAGAGTTCGGTCGCGGCATTAATTTGAAAGCAGATGACCAACATTTAAAAGGCCTGCCTGGCCATTTCTGTCCCAAGCCCTTCCGGAGACTGGGGGATCATGTCTACTCCAAGGAAAGCAACTCACGTGAGGAACGGAACCCTCAAACAGCCGGGGTGACGCACTCCCAGCTTGGAAAATGGCCCAGGTCCACCTCGCTAACAGCAGCTAGGTGGGGAATTGTCCGCGTGCACTATTGTTTCCAGATGCTTATTTTTAACTTCTGTTTGATGCCGGTTCCCCTAAACTGGGCCCGGAGGGAAAGAGGCCTCTGGCAGCGCCACTGGTGGCTCTGGGCGCCGCAGACTTTTATAATAAAAACACCCCTTTATCTTTTTATCGCAGCGTCCGTGTACCCGCGCCTCTCTCCGGTACACCTCTGCCATCACCGCACGCAGCACCGGCGCCAGGTCCCCATGACAACACAGTCCGGGAGCCCCGGCCTCCCGGCCCCCGCCCCGCTGCCCTCCGCGCCGGCCGGAGTAGTGGCGGCCACACCTGCCCGG